TAGGACTAAGTTGTTCATAACTAGTCCTGTTTATTTCGATATAATGTTAGGTCTTGTTTAGGTTTTATGTCTGTCTTTGAATTTTGACTTTTAAAGTGATTTTATTCATTTTTAGTTTAGTCGAACTGATGATGGAGCTGGACTCCGAAACGTTTTCAATACCGATATGGTGAATTTTCTTGGCGTTTTCTTTGCTTTTAAATTTCTTAGTAACTAATCTTAATGCACACTAGGAAAACTTTTTATTTTTTTTTAAACCTGATGAACGCTGTAACCGCTATTATAATTATAATTAACATTCCCTCTACCTCTTTTTCATGCAGGCAAGAGATGACAGTTGCCCTAACATTCTATTATTCACCTAATGAAATATTTCGATACCTATGGTGAGAAGAGAAAAAAGACTACGATGTTCTATTTTTCTCATAGAACTTAACACGGGGTCACACGGTACAGCTAAATATGAACGGGAATATTTTTTATGAATATAAATAAATATGAATATTTTTTTTAATAAAAAAAATGAACGGGCTCTGGCACACCGACATTTCTAGAACGTCGGTATTCAAATTAATTTCGGTATTCAAAAGATCCAACAGAGTATTTTTCTTTCCAATTTTCGTTTATTAGGAGCTGTTTAAAGATTTCAATTATGGTGATTAGGTATAGATGCTTCCTCTTAAACAGTGCACAAATGTAAAGCTTTAATTATGCGCATCGTAAAAAAAAATCGGGTGACTTTTTAAACAAAAATCTAAGTTAAAAATTGCGTGGTAGAATATTCAACAGGTTCTATATACAGACAGCTAAGTTTTCGCTTTATTTGATGATAAAAATGTTAAATGATATTGAAAAAAGTGTTAAAGATTTGAAGCAAAGAAATATGCTTCTATAGAAAATAGCAAACCCCATAAACACGTAATAATTAGAAATAATAAGCCTAATTATGATGGTAAAATAAATAATTACAAAATTAAAAGTATATCAGTGAGCGTGATAGTGCTGGGACAAAGTTATGGGGCGTTTAGTCTTGAAATGCCTAGTACCCTACGGAACAACAAAGTCTAGATACGATTTCAAACCACCGTCCGTTGAAAAGATTTGATCAAAAGAACTGTTTTGTAGATCTGTGAACTATAGTCAGGAAATGTACAAGAATCGGCGTCAGGTCTATCCAGGCCAATTCTTCTAAGCCGAAGATACTATACTATACTATACTATACTATACTATACTATACCATTCTATACTATACTATACTATACCATATATACTTCTTGTTGAAAAAATAATATTGAATAGTATCAAAATTTCTTTCGTGAAGTTCGTCGTTGCACTGCTGCCTAAATTAAAAATTAATATCATGTTAATTCAACAGACAATTTGATATAGAGTGAAGGGCGTTCCTATTACCACCAGCAATGCCTATTTTATGCGTCAGCAAATACAGGCAATTTTTTGTGCCTGTAGGCCCTTCTTTTTGCCCCTTCTCTTGGCCTCACTTTTACTTTCGCCAGGCGAACTCGAGCGTCACAAGCGATGAATTTTATGCAGGATGACTTACTGAAATTTATCTCTCAGATGCCTTAAAATGATGAAACATTACATGTTAAAGATTAAAAGTCGCCAGGCGAACTCGAGAGACACAAGCGATGAATTTTATGCAGGATGACTTACTGAAATTTATCTCTCAGATGCCTTAAAAAGGATGAAACATTACATGTTTAAGATTAAAAGGGTGCAAGTATGTTTGAGGTTTAATGAAAGTAGACCTGTTTCACATTTAACGGAATGAAATATGTTTGAGATGGTATGGAAGAGACATGTTTGAGGTTGAACGAAAGTAGAATTTTTTTTAAATTGAACTGAAGAAGACATGATTGAGCATTAAAGGAAGTAAACATGTTAAATTTTGAACTGAAGATGACATGTTTGCACTTTAGCGAAAGTAGACATGCTTAACATTTACCGGAACTAGACATGTTTAACAATCACCGGAAGTAAACATGTTTGAGACTGAACGAGAGTACACATGTTTAAAATTAGGCGAGTGGAAATGTTTGAGCTTGAACGACCATAAGCAAAAAGCTGTTCAGGAAGTCAAAGAAAGCTACTGAAACAAATGACAATGCATAATAAATATATGATAAAAAATTCAACCGATGTGTGGTACATCGTTATTGGTAGCTTCCTTTCGCGGTGTGAATGTATAAACAATTTTTATGAAGGATTTGCTATATTTAAAAAGAAACATTCAGAAAATCCTAAAAAAATCAGCCACTCACTCATGTATAAAAAGTCATAAGAAAAAGTTAGCCATTTGATAATTCCATTGAGTTAATATAAATTATTTGATTATTAACGATCAGTGGTTTTTTTTCGGTCAAACTCATTGTTTTGGGCCTTTTAGCATTTGCATGACCGGCAAAATTCTATTCATGCCTTATATTTATTGTATTTAATTCCTGTTGAATTGAAAATCTGAAATGATTAAATTATTACACCGCAAATTAAAATTTTACTGACAGAGATTGAACAGAGTGCCGCTTGGCCTTTTTATGTGCTGATTTGGCCGTTTTCTGTGCCACCATCTGGCAACCCTGGCACAGCGGTTGCCTGCAGTGTCATTTTGGCATCGGAGTGGTGAGGTCGATATGTGTACTTCCCAGCAGTTCTAATTAAACCATTATTTAGATGCAATAAGAAATAGTTAAAATAACATTTACATAATGGTAAAGTGGAAAAGCCACGCGAAAAACTAACATAGATCCTGACATAGATCCTAGTTGACGCAAGCCGACAGTGAAGCGATGCCGTGGACAATTTCACTAAGAGTTTTAATAAATCAATTTCATAGTGCGGATTTAATGTTAGAGGCTTACCGAAAACATACAGATTAAACCGTAATTAATTGCAATATGCACCTGAAGGATAACAGGAATGAAATCCTTGATGAAATTAGTAGATTTTTTCATTAAATTATCTAAAACAAGCTTGTTCGTGATAATTAATTTTCTAATACACATATGATGGTACAGAAAATATTCGAGCTTGTTATCATAAATGTTATCATTTTTGCGTTACAATACATTAATTAAATCGGTATGACAATTATATACTTCGGATAATAATTCAAATTTTATTTCGGAAATATTAAATCGCTTACCAACGAGAGTTAAAAACATATATGATCATCAATGTACCAGTTATTTTTTTAATGGGCAGATTACACAACCCATTAAAAATGCAGGTGACGTCGGAAATAAAATGGGTTATCTTTACAATATTATTATTTCAAGTATCGTGGCAACATCGCTGTGTCTTGTGTGTTCATAGCCACACGAGCTTCAGCCTAACTCAAAGCGCGGAATTACCAGACACAAATTCAACTGAAATTGTGCCAAAAGAAATAGTTCCGTCACGTTACTCTTCAAATAAATTAAATATGAGAGAATATTTCTACGACGTACAAAATAATTCTCGATTAAATGAAGAGGGAACTTTATTTTTAGACAAAGAACAAAGTTATGGTAATAGATCAATTAGCGCAGAAATTCTAGAAGATGAGATGTCTATGCTTGTGAACGTTGGCTTCAATTCAAAGCCATCAGCCGCATCAGAGCTCGTGCGATGTTTTATAAGAAACATAAACGATTGGAATTTAGACCAGTTATGCCCAAGTGAAATTGAAAATTTCAAATTAGCAGAGCTAATGGCTCTCGGCATGCATTCTAACGATACCGCCGTGGAAGAGATACAATCCAAGCTCCCAGCTGAGACGTCTGAGGTCTTGCAGGTCGATTTCAACGAAACAAGAAAACATAAATTTAATTTTCATATCAACATTTTGGGGAACGAATTGCCGACGACGAAGTCAAATGTCAGCCAAACGAACACAATTGTTGCGTCACAACGAACGAATGAAGAAAGAGGTACGCAAACAACACGCATTCATGGAAGTCACTTCGACACAGATGACATTATTTCAGCCTCCCCGCCAGAGCATCTCGTGGATACTAAGTACCATGAAAACCTTACAAACTTGGATGGTTTTGGTGCCGCGGCACATGATGAAAACTCGATTTCAAAACCACCCAGCGAGCTAAGACAATCAACTTACCCTAAAGAAGGTCCTCTCACAATTTTATTACCCCAAACGCAACACTTGCATCGAAATCCGTCATCGGTCCACCATCTCAATAGACGGGACTTAAAAAATTTACCGACTTTCAGCCACTCGAAGTCTTCAGTTGGCAAGCAGACCCAACCTCCAGAAGACCTCTACCTGCAGGTGGTGAGTCTTAAACATTATTACTGAGGTCGTCGGAAGACCAGACTTTCCTTCAAGACCAATAGTAATTACCCTAAATTAGGTTCCGTGTTCAATTCGGAAAACTTTTTTTTGCCTTGTGGCAAAGTTTCACCCAAGCCTCTCATTATTTTCTGGAAAAATTATTTAGTTGACTTTTTGTTGCTATCACTTACTTAGTCACTACCAGCCTTATTCCGATGATTAAACGCAAACGATTAATTTAGCAATTTCATTTCGTCACAGCCGGAATTGATCCGCCGCCACGGATACCCGGCTGAAGTCCACGACATTCGCACGAGTGACGATTACATTCTGACCCTGCATCGCATCGTGGGGCCGCAAAACGATAATAACAATAAGGCCTCAAGACGACACGACAAAGCAATACGACAAAATAGGCAAACGAGCAACAAAAAACACGATAACGACACTCCTCAAGGGAAGAACAAAAAATCTGTCGTGTCTCACGAGCACAACAAGGAATCGATCAAGAAACACGATAACCAAAGCGAATCGACCTTGTCCCGCGATCACCGAAACCAATCGACGGTATTCGATGATCTCCCGAACGAATCGATAATTTCAAACGATAGCCATAACCAAAAGATGACTCACGCTTACCTTAACGAATTTAACGTTACTCTCGATGACGCCAAAAGACGCACGGGCAGAGGGACGGTACGAGAGAAAGAAGCTGTGCTCCTCATGCACGGCTTTGCCAGCTCATCGGCAGACTTTGTACTCGGAGGTCCCGACAGTGCCTTGGGTGAGTCAACTTCAGCTTATCTATTACAGTATTACTGGATTTATAATATAAAAAACACCGCGTTTTTCTGTAGATTTTATAGAGGGTTCAGACATTACCCTAGGCAGGGTTCATGCTTTACCCCACAGAGCTTAAGCTTGACACTTCCCCCAATGTTCAGGCTTTACCTACAGCGTCAACGTTTAACCCCACAGTGTACACGTTTAACCTCACAGGGTTCACGTTCAACCTCACAGTGATCACGTTTAACCCCACAGTGATCACGTTTAACCCCACAGGGTTCACACTTTACTCCACAGGATTCATGCTTTACCCCACAGGTTCACGCTTTACCCACAGGGTTCACGCTTTACCCCACAGGGTTCACGCTTTACCCCACAGTTTTACCCCACAGGGTTCATGCTTTACCCCACAGGGTTCATGCTGGCTGACGCGGGTTACGATGTCTGGCTGGGAAATTTCCGCGGCAACGCCTACAGCCGCCGCCATGCGAGCCTCCAGAGCGACGACGCGCAGTTCTGGCGCTTCAGGTGACACTTTTTGTATTCAAATTCTAATAATATTTCCTTATATTCTCTTTTAGCACATTTTCTCATTTACGGAAAAAAAGCGCTATTGTGCTCGTCATGTCCGTCCGTCCGTCTGTCCGTCCGTGACTTCACGTTTTCGTCGACGAGAAAATGCGCTCTCTGTCACTCACTGCAGTGAGTACTGAGTTATATTTTTTTACTTAAATGAGAAAATGAGCTTGAAAGAATAAATTGTAATATTTACACAACTGGTTGATGTGCACAGTTTGGACGAGGTGTCTCGGCGTGATGTACCAGCGATGGTGGACCACATCATCACCACCACACATCGGCCACACATCTTTTACATCGGCCACTCAATAGGCGCCACGATGTTGGCTCTCACCTGTCACATCAAGCCCAAGTTCGCTAATAAGGTCATGCCATTATAAATAAGGTCGTAAATAAGGTCATACCATTATAAGTAAGGTCGTAAATAAGGTCATGCCATTATAAATAAGGTCGTAAAGAAGGTCAAGCCATTATAAATATCTTGAATAAGGTCGTAAATAAGGTCATGCCATTATAAGTAAGGTCGTAAATAAGGTCATGCCATTATAAATAAGGTCGTAAATAAGGTCAAGCCAATAGAATAAATAAGTATATATGTCATTCGTTATCTACCGAAAAATACACATAAGGTTCAGCAGAAATTACGCATGAGGTTATATTACGCATTATACTTGTAACGGAAAATAGACATGAAGTTTTGTGTAAAAAATTAGAATGGCTTTCTTATTAAGCTTGTCTTGACGTTGAAACAAAGTCTATTACCAGTCTATTATACCGCTTAATCAACATGATTTCAACATCAGATGCTTGATGGTAGTTGTTTTAACGTAGCTATCGCACGGATGTGACTAAAATATTTACAACTACTTACTTTTGAACGCAGAGCGTTTAATAAATAACATTTTTTATGCAGATTCGACATTTTTCAGCCATGGCGCCCGTAGGATATGGCAAGATGTCGCAAGGGCCAGTCAAAGTAATGACCAATCTCGCCAGAATCACATACGTGAGTGTTACGTCTGCTGCCCATTCTTGCCCACCTTGCTAATTTCGACCAGAATTTCACAATTAGTCGTGAGTTTCGAATCTCTAAATTGCTGCTCTTATCTTAGTTTTAGTAGCCAATCGACGATCAAAACTTGTTAGAAATTCTCGCATACAAAGTACATCAAGACTTCTATTAGATAATAAATTTGTAATATTCCTGTTGAATAGTTGCGTAATATCAGTAATATGTGAGTGATTTAAATATATTATCGAGCTCAGTATCTTTTCTACTGAACATAAATAGAAAGAAGAAACAGACGCGCTTTGCCCCGTGAGCGCTCGGCGGCTGCCATAAAATTTATATTACTTCTCTTGAATAATCGCGTCCACATGTGTACGATTTAAACACATAAAATATACAGCTGTATATTCCCAATAAACAGAAACACAAAGAGGAAGGAGGTGGGGCCAAAGCGCAGGTTTTGTCCCGGGACCGCTCGGCGGTTGCCTTCATGTGGTTCTTCTGTGGCGCGCGCAGCCTCGCCTGGAAGCTGTGCCTCAGCCTCCTCACTGCGGCGGGAGGCCGCAACACTGGCCTCTTCAGGAAGGTATTTGTTGGCCTCTTCAGGAAGGTATTTGTTGGCCTCTTCAGGAAGGTATTTGTTGGCCTCTTCAGGAAGGTATTTGTTGGCCTCTTCAGGAAGGTATTTGTGGTATTGGTCACGGTAACAGTGATAAAATAAAGTAACGGCGGTAACGGTAATCCAAGCAAAAGATGGTGATGACAGTAATGTGAGTAAGCGACGTTGACAGCAACACATTTTAAACGAATATAAATTACATGCAAGAAAAAATAGAGGTACAAGTAATATAGGTAAATGTAATGCAAGGGCAAGTAATACAAGTAAAAGTAATGTAAGTTTCAGTAATTCGAGCAGATGTAATGCAAGTACAAGTAACCCAAGTACAAATAACACAAGTAACACAAGTACAAGTAACACAAGTTCCGTACACAGGAGATGCTGTCCCTTATCCTGGCTCACTTCCCTGCCGGCACGTCGGTGAGGCTGGCAGCTCATCTGGGCCAGCTGCTCAGCTCAGGTATCCTTGGTATCCTTAAAATATCCTTAGTATGTGTGTCCTTAAAATCCTTAGTATGTGTATCCTTAGTACCCATGAGTATCCTTAATATCCTTAGTACCCATGTGTATCATTAATATCCTTAGTACCCATTAGTATCCTTAATATCCTTAGTACCCATTAGTATCCTTAATATCCTTAGTACCCATGAGTATCCTTAATATCCTTAGTACCCATGTGTATCCTTAATATCCTTAGTACCCATGTGTATCCTTAATAACCTTAGTACCCATGAGTATCCTTAATATCCTTAGCATGTGTTAAGGACGTAGCAGCCCCAGGCCACGCTAGAGTGCCGCCTCTGTAAGGTCAGACCCTGAATAGCCTGATACGACAGCAATACGCTGATAATACAAGTCATACAAACAAATTTCCCCAAACACATAGGTAAAAATACATCATATGTATAATTATACACTGAAGATGCAACGTATAGCATCATAGAGCAGTCTGTGGGGATCATATTGTTCAAATATTGACCCCCTTTCCTACCCGCAGCACCAGCAGAGAGCGGACGTGGCGCTGACACGTTCTTGTGCTGGCCCAAAGTGGGTTAAGATGACCCACGCAGGGTCCAAAATGGCATCAATATTTAGACTACGTCTCGTTATTTCTTTATTTCTTGTCAGTTCCACACTCATGAATATCAATGGGTTATTTTGAAAAAAATTGTTATACACTTTCTGCCCGTAGCACTGGTGCTTCCTTTGCTTTTGGGCCAAACTGCATCAGAATGATCCACACAGGAGAAGAAAAAAGTTCATCAATATTTGGACAAAACCTCTTTTTTTCTGAGTATCAGGATGATCCACACAGGAGAAGGAGAAACATTATCAATATTTGGACAAAGTATAATTTTTCTGAGTGTAGACAATGTCATAGCATGTTCCTACAGACGGTCTCCATAAGTTCGACTTCGGTCCCGACGACAACGCGGCGCTGTACGGCCAAGCCACGCCTCCGCGCTACGACCTCAGCCACACGCGGGTGCCTACAGCCGTCTACTGGGCCGTTAATGACCTCCTCGCTCCCCCTCAGGTAGACATGTTGCGTAGCCATTTCATGTGTGGCGTAGCCATGTCATGAGTAGCAGGTAGTCATGTCAAGGGCAGGCAGCCATGTCAGCGGCAGCAGGTAGCCATGTCATGAGTAGCAATTAGCCATGTCAACTGCAGCAAGCAGGTAGCCATGTCAACGGCAGCAGGTATATAGCCATATCAATTACGGCTGATACCCAAGTTTGGCGCCTAAATTAATCCATACCACATTCCGCTAAGTATTACCTTCTTGTGTCCCATTAGCAAATCACGTAACGGAGAATTTGAAATGTAATTGCAAAATACGTAACCCACCTGGACTAAATAGAATAGAATAGAGCAGAAGTGTCGGCACTGAAGAAATAGGCTCATGGCCTGTTGCCGATTCTTGCTCTTTTCGTGACTTGATTCACAAGGGATCCGGCCTTTGGAACCCGATCTTTCCATAACTGACGATCGATTGAGATAGCTGCTGGACTTATTGCCTGCTCCGTAATTTGCTAGGCATTTTAAGACTGAACATATGCTCCTGCATAGCTTCGTCTAGTCTGTTCTTGAAGATGTTCATACTCGGAGCGTCAACGATGCTATCAGGGACGCTGTTCCACATGTCGGTGACTCGAAGCGAGAAGAAATGTTGTCGCATGGATGTGCTACAACGCAGTTCTTTTAGTTTATAGCGGGGGCCCCTGGTGTTGGTTCTTATTTAAACAGTGACAAAAACCGCAAACTTTTTCAATTTTTTAAAACGCTAACCTGCTTCACTTACCAGATTAACCTTTAATATTACACCCTTAACCTCCTGACAGGATGTGGAAGAGTTCATCGCTGCGCTGCCGAACGTGACGGAAAAGCACCTCGTTGGACACGAGACTTTCAATCACTTCGACTTTGTTTATTCGGATCAAGCGCGCCACCTTCTTCACACAGACCTCATCACGACCATGGCCAAGTATGGGCGTCAAAACTTTTAATTGAACTGAAACAAAAAAGAATTTTGAACCTCAAATCAAAAGGAAACGCGTCACACTAATTGGAATTGATTCAATTATTTTAACCATATTTTGTAGATATGGAAACTTTTGAATTCACTTTACTTACTCAAAAATAAAGGCTTAAACGAAAAAGGCTTCAATTCTATGGAGAATTTCAAAGCCATTTCGATCGCATGGCATCGAATAGAGTTCGCATAGTTTAGTACCGAGGCGATAGATAAATTTCAATGTAAATGTCAATCCTTTCAACAAATACTAATAACACAGCGCATATGATCACAATATGCACATAGGTGGTTTTAAATTCAGCTAATACCGAAAAATTTCATTGTTTATATTTTATAGATATTTGGAATATTTACGCATTAAAGCATAGACAACTATTTTCAAGATAGATCTTTTGCGTCACCAAGTTTTCTCATTATGGAAGCACTTGATAGTGAAATCACAAAAAAAAACTTCTTTTATTACTTTGCTCATTGTACGTCAAAGATTTTGCTTGCGAGTAAAATGCAGCGAAAGAAGGAGATGACGCTGCATAATTGTTATCGGCTGATAAGCCTTCAAAGATCTCAAGCCAAGCGCCGAACATTTGAGAGAAGTCAGTAATGTATCGATCATCGTTATAAATAAATGAACTGAAAAAACTGCCTTCAACTCATTGGTTATTGCAAAGTAGCACATAATTTCCCAACAGTACGAACACACTTGAGAATATGAACATGATATAATGCAATAAAAGTAGTCTGTTGCTTGAGCTAAGCCAGTAAATAATGATCACCTCAGGTCATCGATATTATTCTCATTTTTACATTATTCGCTCTCCAGATATTCCATAAGATCTGACAATTATAGCCACAACCCCTGAAGAGAAATGCAGTTACAGTTTTATTCTGATTCTTTGAATTGCCATGGCAATTGCATGACTTTTTTGTGAAGCATAGAAATACAGTTAAAGGTAAATATTCTCAAACTTCATAACTACAAGAAGCTGTCGTTCGAAATTTGGACGGACCTAAAAGTGTAGCAACATAATCAATAAACGGGTTAAAAAACATCAAACACATTGAGAAGGTAAATTAGACAAGGTATTTTGTAACGTGTACTTATGTTACTGAACACGTCAATGATCTACTGATGCTCCTATTGCTATCTAATGCTTACGGGACCGAGGTTTAGAACAGGACACTTGAGACGATCGTATTCAAGACTTACATTAGCGGTATAATACACATATAGTTTCGCATTACGGGGCAAAATAATGGAACAGAAATTATAAGACAACAGCAAGACAGTATTTGGCTTTAATTCCTCCATTAAGAAGCTACAAACTAGCGGAAGCGAAATGGGTGTAAAAATTGCGAAACTGAAATGGATGTCAAACTTGCTAAACTGAAATGGATGTCAAACTTGCTAAACTGAAATGGATGTCAAAATTGTCAGTTGCGGGGTAATGGATTTTGAACGCAAGCTGCACGAGTTACCGATTTTTAAAGAGAATAACCAGCGGACACACATAAAAACACTTGTCCACGTATCGGTCTAACTGGACGAAAAAAATGTTCGATTATCTGCAAAATAGATTTCTGGTTTTTGATCAATGATTAGAACTAGAAACCATTAGACAGAACTAGAAAATAAATCAAAATCAACATCAGCAAAAATTAAAAAGTTCTATTAACATCAGCAAAAATTTCCTATCACTCACTAAATCAGGATGAAAAAAAAAATACGTAATAAGAACAGACGACCAAGGAATTTCACTCGAATTGAGCGCAAATGCAAGCTCGATGGACGAAAACCCATCGTAATTAGGACTTCTAAACCAGATTAAAAACAATAATCGTGAATGGTGGTAGCAGTTTGTGGCGCTCACTACAGATTAAAGAACAGTATTCGTAATGAAAGGAGTAATTTGCTCGCTAATGTAGGAAAGAAATTTCCATTGAACCTTTTTTCCCCCCAGTAACCACTACCGGCAACTCAAGTATTTAAGAGCCACTTACGAAAAAGGAGCCTTCATCTTTTAAGACATAAAAGACGTAAAATGACAAATTCAGATTGAAAAAAAAAAATCAGAATATCGATGATGATTGTCTAATAAATTAAATTTTCAGTGAACAATAAAATAAGCTTGGAAATCTCGAAGCTTGGGCTGTTCAGGAGCCCCCGATTCAGCAGACGAGACGGTAGATCAGAAGCACTAATCAGATCCACTGCCGCTCCCCGACTTAGATCTTCGACGAGATCCGCTGCGCGATCGAGAATGGGATCTGGACCCACTTCTTGCCCGACTGTTCGAACGAGATCGCGAACCACTTCTTGATCTTGATCGAGATCTTGAAACGCTTCTTGACTTGGATCTTGACCCACTTCTAGAACGCGATCGGGACCTCGATCCACTCTTTGATCGTGACCGGTTTCTTGAACGAGATCGCGATCTGCTCGTTGATCTTGATCTACTCTTGGATCGAGATCGTGATCTTGACCTAGACCCACTAGCTGACCTAGAACGACTCTTGGACCTTGACCTAGACCTAGACCTGGATGATTCAGAGTTCAACCTTCTCCTTTTGTTGTCATGTTTATCATCACCATCATCGGCGATCTTGAGTCTCTTGGCGTCATCATCGGAGTCTGAATCAGTATCAGATATGGTCGCCTTGGACACGATACGCATCTTTTGTTTACCGGAGAGACCCTCGTTTCTGGCGGAATTCTTCTTTGCCTTCTCTTTGTGCCGGCCTTCTGACCTGCCACGCTTCCTAGACTCTCCTCCTGCGGCCTCCTTCCTTGAGGGTCTCTTCTTCTTCGAGGGCCTGCTACGTCCTCCACCACCGCCGTCCTCTCCTCCGCTACGTCGCTCGTCGTCGGATCCTTCACTAAGGATCTCACCGTCGCGTTCACGTTTGCGGCCCCGCGAGGACTTCTGAGGAGGCGGCTCAGTCAGGATCGTCTTGACGGCGCTCTTCATCTTCTCCTTGTACTCCTCACGTGCACGGGCCTGCAAATTGGATTTTTTTAATAAAGGATTATCAAAATACTTAAACTACAATAATGATACTTTACCTATATTTTACAATCGATATTAAACACCACAAAAATTCACAAATCTAACAGTTTAACCATTTTTCAATCATACGAGCCAGCGCTTTTATTCAAGCCAAGACTGGAACATGAAGAGGCTTATTAAAATAAAAAAAAAGTTAGAATCAAAGTTTTTAATTGGAGGTAATGCATTAATCAATGTGTTAGATAAAAGTAACCATTTTAGTCAGGAGTGAGCGACGATGGAAGGTGAAGCGATATGAGAATGTTTGAGGCCGCTATTTTGCCACGGCTTTTCGATAAGACTTAATAGAAGGTAATAACAAATACAGCTTCTGCGAGATTAACTGTAGTACAGCATATATACAGATACCTCACTAAATGAGAAAGAAGGTATGGTTTATAAAAAATATATCTCATTGATGTGAGATTAAAGTAGATTATATATCAGATTCGTTTTCATAAAGTGAGACTTTAATTCATTGTTTTCATACATGGTATGCAACCAACAAAATTGAGATGGAACGTATAGCAACCTTAGCAATAGCCTCCTCCTGCATCTTCTGCTCCCTGAGGGCACGCTCCTCCTGCAGCTTGTGCTGCAGACGCCGCATCTGCTCCTCCTGCTGCGCCTTCAGCTGCCGCTCGTCGTTGTCGAGGCGTCGGGCGCGCGCCACGTGATACTGCGCCTGGCTCAGCAGGTCCCGGCACTGACTCGCCTCCGCCCCTGCCGCTGCCAGGTCATAACGAAGACGTTCTCCGTGCACTGAGAGGTGCTGGAAGTACCTGTACATGAGCAGAAATATGAATTATAAACAATGAGATGTCTCATGTCGGTATCGTCCCGAATTTTCAATGGGAAGTTGGTCTCTTTTAGGACCGTCTAAAATGAAAAATACATTGAGACGCGCATGCAATCTATCATCAGCTCGATGCACAGTACAAAGTCACCACTTCCACCATCCAGCTCAGACCACTACAGCAAGACCCCACCACTACCACCATCCAGCTCAGGCCACTACAGTAAGACCCCACCACTACCATTATCCAGCTCAGACCACAACAGCAAGACCACACCACTTGCACCATCCACCTAAGACCACTGCAGCAAGACCCCAACCACTTCCACCATCCAGCTCAGACCCCTACAGCAAGACCCCGACCACTTCCATCATTCAGCTCAGACCCCGACCACTTCTACCATCCAGCTCAGACCACTACAGCAAGACCCCGACCACTACCACCATCCAGCTCAGACCACTACAGCAAGACCCCGACCATTTCAGTCACTCCGTTCAAACCACAAGAGCAAAAGCCTGACTTGTGCGCGAGCGTGAGGTGCTGTGTGGCCCGCAGCACGGAGGCGAGGCCGCTCTTCTCGTCCCTCAGCACGGCTGTGGCGAGCCTCTGCAGCACCAGCGCCAAGTTGTACAGCACCACCGTGTCCTGGGGCGCCACGTGACGCGCCTGTAACAAGTCCATGTAATTATTTTTGATAGCCCCAAAATGTTCAAGATATAAATATACGTTGAAGTACAAAAATATTCTCGAAGCTATACCAACCATAAATGCACTTCAAGCAGTAATTGACGTGTACATCAAAATTTGCGGAGAAGTGTTAGCTTTGATCGTGCAGTACGATGCAGAAAAGAACACTAGCAAGCAAAAGACACTAACCTTAATAAGAGTAAGCATCGCTTGCTGCAGTTTGCCAGCTCTGAAGTAAGCTCGAGCAAGGTAGCTCAAGACTTCCACGTTGGGATGACGGAAGAACTTCTTCTGGCAGTTCTCGTACTGTGGCAAAAGTTCATAAAATATACACGAGGCAAACGTTCATAAAATATACATGACAGTTTTAGTTTGTCTCAAGTCTCGTTGAATGAATGCAGCGCTCCAGCGCTGCCTGGGACTGCTGTGTCCGAAATACATACTAAGGATACCGTACTACAAATACATTTCAGTTCTATAATATAAAACGCAAAAGCATACCTGTAACACAGACGATTTTTATAGGATTACATGTCAACAGCAGCACTTCAACTATGTAAAGTTTAAGAATGGCAAAATCTGTTCACAAGTTCATCCGTACCGCATAGAAAAACTATTTCTGTTCTAGGCTCGGTGTCCTACAGAGCATAAACAGAGATACACTCTTCCTGCGCCACGCAAGTGCTAACAGCATATAGACACACCATTTGTATAGCGCTTATGTACTGCTTTTGTTCGACGTAGATGTGTCCGATGTTCATCCAAACGTCACTGAAGTCAGCTGTTGCTTCACGAACTTGAGCGAAGATGTCGCGTGCCTCGTTGATGTGGCCCTTGTGCGCCAAGACAGCTCCTGTGGGAATCGTTATTGTGCATTTTATAAAAACTATGAATTGTATTCAATAGGAAAAATATAAAATATAAATAAACAAGTGATAAGAATAAGTCTTCTGGTAGTGGCTTCGCTAGAAAGCATTCAGCAGTACGACTGCATTACTACTGGGACTAGAAGCGCTTGCACACGGGATAACTTATGGCATCCAGTGCAAATTTAAACTACTACGGTAACCGTTGCTCTACACCGAGATATTGGCCTCGGATATATGCGCTTCTGGCCACAAAAGGACCCTGTTACCTTTTATACGAGACCAATAGCAGGATAGTTAGTTGCAGTTAGCATTTGAATGTTGGTACTGGCCGACACTACTGTACAGTACTTACTACCGCTAGTACTGTACCATACTGTTCGCCACTACTGTCTAGTACTGTGCCATTCTGTCCGCCACTACTGTCCAGTACTGTACCATTTTCTCCGCCACTACTATCTAGTACTGTACCATTCTGTCCGCCACTACTGTGCAGTACTGTACCATTCTGTCCGCCACTACTGTGCAGTACTGTACCATACTGGCCGCCACTACTGTCCCCGTATAAAAGGACCTTAAAACCTCACCTATGCCATTGGCAGCCCAGATATTCTTCGGATCGGTCTTGAGGACCTGCTTGTACATGGCGAGGGCGCGCTCCTGGTGTTTGATCTCCTTCTGCTTGTCTCGCTGAGGCTGATGCAGCGTAGTGAGCCACACGTTGCCTAGTGCGATTAGCGAGTAAGAGTCTTGGGCCGTACTTGGGTTCTGCAAAGAAAAAAAAACAACGAATGCAGTTAAAACTGGATATCTTTGGACATAAGATAAAAGGAAATACTGCATGGCTAGAAGTCTTGGCGAGCATTTGGGTGTTGAAGAAAGCAACTTTGATCATGGGCAAATACCGTGAATTATTCGCGAAGAGAAAAGGAAGAATATCATTGTTATTATTAAAGATTCATTTATAATAGAATGTATTATTATATATTAACAATACTTATTCAAGAAATGATGTTCAACGCACCTTCAGGATACGTTCAAATTTCTTCTGTCCAGGACCGAACTCGTTCTTGGCAAGATGCAGGTTGCCCATGAGCGACCATGCGTCCGGATGCTCGTTGTTCATACGCAAGGCTTCTTTGTACCAGTCAGAAGCATCGTAAATCTGGCCCCTATCACGAGACATGCATCCCAACCGTAGGTAACCTGCAGTAACAATACGGGTAAAATAGCACATAAACTTAAATAATGTTATAACTTAATCCAAAATAACTTAATCCATCCACTTAAAATTACGAGCAAAAATTGAATATTACGAAATATTTTTCAAGCATATCAAGTTATTTGCGCTCCTTTCTTGCCATTTGCTCAGCAGTTTTAGCACATCCACTTAAATAATGTAATAACTTAATCCATCCACTTAAAATTACGAGCAAAAGTTGAATATTACAAAATATTTTTAAAACATATTGAGTACCTAATTTGCGCTTTCTTCTTGCCATTTGCTCAACAGCTTTTGAAGAAAGCTGCTTTACATCGTTTTTAATTTATTCAAGCAATTTTTACTCGAGACAAAATCATCATCCAACCTCCTGCCGTGCTCCCAGCAAGTCAACTTATTGAACCTACCTTTAAAATATCTCAACACGATTAATCCATCCAAAGTTTGGTTTAAATCCACCCGATTTAAAGTTTAAATCCATCAACTTAAAGTTTTGTTCAAGACCATAGATTAAATTTGATTAACAACTGTCAAATTGATCTTGTATCAAGAAGCCAAAAACTGTAATTGTCGCAATGAGAGCGACTCACAGTCAACATAGCTAGTGTAGTCGTTGAGAATTTCTTTTTAGCGACTCAGTCAACATAGCTAGTGTAGTTGTTGAGAATTTCTTTTTAGCGACTCAGTCAACATAGCTAGTGTAGTCGTTGAGAATTTCTTTATAGCAACTCACAGTCAACATAGCTAGTGTAGTCGTTGAGGATTTCTTTATAGCGACTCACAGTCAACATAGCTAGTGTAGTCGTTGAGAATTTCTTTATATATCCTCTCTGCATCACTGAAGCGGCAGAAGGTCTCATGGAGTCGCCCCAGGTTGTACTTTATAGTGACGGAGATGGAGCCGTAATACTGAGGGTCTTGCTCCATCTCTGCATTGCAGCGCTCCACGGCTTCATTTAGCATCTTCTCGCACTCTGGCAAGTTGCCTAACCTGAAACATTATTGGTGATTGATAAGTTATTAAAAATCCACTTCTTTCACCATCTCACAATCATGGAAAGTTGCATAGCCTAAAACGTGATAAATGATAAATAAACAATTCTATGAATCCTATTTGCACAGCATCTTCCCGCACTCCGGCAAGTTGTTTAGCCTGAAACAGTATCAGTAATTAATAACACAAATTCGATTACAATGTCATTAATAATCGGCTATCTCTTCAGCCTTCCGGCCAGTCATTAAGGAGGAAAAGATGGTAAATTCTTTATCTTGTAGCAATAAAGAATCATAAAGTTGTCTAAGTAATGAGCCGCAAGTGCAAGCAACAGGAAGTAAATGGTAAAACATCAATGAATGAATAAAACACTTAAAATGTAACAAAAATGCCCCCATACCCACGTAACAGAGAATTTTATGCTCGAACAAAAGTAGCAAACAAATCACCTGAAATGTAGGATGGAAATGATACTGGGTAGCTTGTGAGCTCATGTTAATCTGTGCCCGACCAAACCAAGAATAATCCACCTATAACGTAACAAAGCAGTTCAAAAATCGTCTGAAATGCGACAAAAGCATCAATTAATTCACCTGATATACGACATAAGCAACAAATGAATCACCTGTAATGCGACATAAGTAGCAAATAAATCACCTTTAATGCGACAAAAACCATAAATTATTCACCTGAAATGCAGTGCGGAGATGTTATTAAGTATCTCAGAGGGCACGTCCATGTTGATCTGCGTCTTCATGAGGTTCGTGGCGGTACGGTAGGCTGCCAGCGCCGCCTGCTGGTCGCTGCCCTCCAAGATCTGTGCGAGCTCAATCCAAGCCTCGACGTCCTCAGGGCAGTGCTCGGTCACCTGCAGAGACGGTCCCGTTAGTGGTAGTTGAGTGGAGCAAATATTTTAGAGCAATAGTAGTGGAAGTAGTAAAAGCTGTAAGATTACAGTAACCGCGCGGTCAGGCTAGCAGCCATTGAGTGGAGCAAGTATTTTAGAGCAATAGTAGTGGAAGTAGTAAAAGCTGTAAGATTACAGTAACCGTACGGTCAGACTAGCAGCCATCGAGTGGAGCAAATGATTCAGAGCAATAGCAGTAGAAGCAGCTGGAGCTTGTTTAGCTATAAACAGCAGGCCGTAGAACAGATATTTTAAAGTTATCATAGGAGAAGCAGTAAATGATGTAAAGTGTATCTAGCGCTCAGAGGTATCTTGTATCAAAAGCTCTATATACACCACCAACAACTGGCGTGAGATTTGAAATACCCAGAGATCTGAACCTGGCAAGGAAGGAAAGGCACTGGCATCTTAGAGATCACAATTGATAAAAAAAATATAATAATAAATGAAAAACAAGAAAGGTTAATTTCAGATTCGGTTTCAATAAATTTGTTGTCCAATGTCTGAGTCAATACATGCCATTGAAATATTTGAAGAAAATATTCACTTCTTACTTTCTTGAGATGCTGGCGTGCGAGGTCACGTTTTGAAGATGAGGTGGAAGCAGCATAGAGCGAACCCAAAATTTTCATGGTCTCGTAGTTACCAGGCTGCGCTTTCAGGACTTTCTCGAAGCACTGCGCGGCCTGTACAAAGAAAAGGAGTATAAACACAAATTTTTTATATAACACAAATTTTGTATATAACACAAATTTACACCAAATTTTGTGTATAACACAAATTTACACCAATTTTGTATATAACGCAAATTTACACAAATTTTGTACATAAACCAGCGAGCTGTACAGGCACTGCACGGCCTGTACAAAAACACTCTTCATAAGAAGCTGCTTTCAGTGAAACCGCACTCTTATGAAATGAAGAACCTTATGTATCCGATACAGTGTACTCATTGAAATGGGAGTAATTCTGATAAATTATTTCTGTTAAGATTTCTATCAGATTCGAATAAATATTAACAATATAATAACGACCAATAAATTTCATCAAAGTTGTGTAAGTGAGCAAGAGACTCAAGCCTAAATTTCTCACGGAATCTAATCAAGATTATGTAACAAACAACCATGTACCATTATTATTATTAATTATGTAACAAATAACAACTCGCGTATTATTATTATTAATTGTATAACAAATGACAACTCGCATATTATTATTATAATTATAAATTATGTAATAAACAACAACTCACGTATTATTATCATTATTATTATCAATTATATAACAAATAACCACTGACGTTCTCAGTGTCGCCTCTGTTGATGTACATCTGACCAAGTCCGTAGTGAGGGAGCACGAAGTTGGGACTCGCGTACTGCGTGGCTTGGTAGTAGTACTGGAATGCCTGCGTTTAGCGGGAGTCATTTTAGCATAAACAGACAAAAATGGTTAAATTTATCCGTAATATACAGATATTTAATCCACATGCATGCGTTTTACTCACATACCACATAATGATCAGAGAAATAAAGGCCACAATAGTACATTAATATTAAAGCGGATTAGCAGTTGGAGCTTTTCACCAACGATCGATGTTGGCTTCAAACCCACAATACAAACGTTTCTCTCACACTCGCTACATAGTCATTATATATAATCTATGCCCACTACACACATACTGAACTTCATAACCACGTCTCACACACACATTATTCCACTCTTCCTACAGTCCACTCCAACCCTTACCATAGTGCGCCTGTAAGTAGACCTCCTGGACGCGGAAGGCTTTGACCAACTAGTAGCAGCTCCACAACACACACCACACTCCACACCATACACCACTCCAAATACCACCTCTCACCATACACCAGACACTACACAACCCCCTCACCATACACTACACACTACACCCCCTCACCACACACTACACGACCAGACGCCGCCTGGCACCTGCGAGTAGTCCTCCTGCACATGGAAGGCCCTGGCGACCTGGTAGCAGCTCCACCATACACACCACCCCCCCACTACACACCACACACTACACACTACACGACCAGACGTGCACAGCACCTGCGAGTAGTCCTCCTGTACATGGAAGGCCCTGGCGACCTGGTAGCAGCTCTCGGCGCGCATCGCTTCGTTCTCGGTGTTGTGGAAGGCGTGGAGGGCGAGCTGTTCCACTTTGGTGTAATCCTGCACAATGATAAGTTGTTACTTCACAGTTTATTGGCTAGTTTAGTTAGTTACTTATTTCTTGGTGGGAAAATATAATTGCATTAAAATCAGCTCCACCGTAGTATAGTCCTGAAAAATGTTACTTAATTACTTTAGAGTTTATTTTAGTTTAATTTAGTTATTCGGTTATTTTTTTCCTTGTGAACGATCGATCAAAATAGGAATAAATCTGCATTTAAATCAGCTCCACTTCAGTATACTCCAGAACAAAGTTCCTAAATTTCTTTAGATTTTACTAGTGTAGTCTAGTTAGTAAGCTTTTATTAATATACGGTACTACCGGTATGGGAATCGAATAGATAAAATTGCAAGAAACTCATTTAAATAAACGTGTAAATCAATGGAAAAATCATCAGAAACCAGGAGTAATGTATTACGACTAATATCTTCTTTTAACATAAAAAAGTACTTTACACTTATTAGGTAAGCACAAAAATAGGCCGACAAATATGTACAGTTGCAAATAAAAGACATCACTTCAAATAAACATCCAACAATGATAATAACTAAAAATCTAAATAAATTCATAGAGACACGGTCGAATTTACCTGCTTGAAGAAGAAGTGGTTTGCTAGATGATTGAGCACCATAGGGTTAGTGATATCAATCTTATACGCCAGTGACAGCTTCTGCACGCCTTTCCTTATATTCTCAGGTTTCTTCATGTTGAGGTCAAGGACTGCAAGGCCAACCAAGGCCCCCACACAGTTAGGGTCCAAGTCCAAGGCGCGCTCGAAGGCAAGCCGCGCCTTGGTGGGGTTGTTAAGGCGGACGAAGCAATGACCGATACCAAGGCGTACGGCAGCCGGGCAGTTGGGTGCCGTGCGTAGGGCTTTCTTATAGAACGCCAGCGCACCGCGGTAATCCTGTTTGTAAATGTTATATAAATAAAAAATATTATGATGGTTTCTCATTGTTTATGTTAGAAAAAAAAACTTTCTTTAAGATTATTTTCTGGATATCACCGGAATTATAGCACCAGGTGAAGAAAAGTAATGAAAGCTTAAAGAGGAGCTTATTTAAGTACTTATCTTATCTGATAAAGTACGTATGAATAACTTCAAATGCTCAATGTAATTCCATATGCACTCAGAGTAATGTAGGTAATCTAATACGTACAGCTGGAAAAGACGTATAGTGGCCAATGCATTGATTTATATTACTTATAAGACAATTGCAAATGCAATTATTAATTACAATGCATTGGTACCTGATTTAAAGATGATTTGAATGGCATGACATTATAAGTCATGCCATTATAAGTAAACCAACTACTATTGTCCAAGGTATTACATACGAGCAATTGCACTTACTATTGTATAAGAGCAATTATACATAGTCTTGTATATGAGTAATATAATGTAATATATGTGTAAAGTGTTGAGTTGCACCCTCTTGTACCCAAAAACAGTCCCACACAAGACACACAAGCCCACACAAGAAGCATTTTTCAGCCAATAAAGCTAAAATGTATCATGTTTTAATAGACTTATTAACTGCAACTTTTAAATAATTAAAAGTAATGTATGCTTTTTTATATAACCTATGGAAATTTTTTGCAGTGAAACCGTCATGCAATACAGAGAAAAATGTTGAAGAGATTTTGGTTGAAACTGTATAGGTACTACCTAGCTGTTGTGGAAATATACCTTCTTATTGAAGGCCATGCATGCTTTTTACACTGAAACATAAAAGATTTTTGCACTGAAACTTTGAAAGTTTTTGCACTGAAACATTGAATTGATAAAATATAAAGTTGAATGTGTTGAACTGTTGTGGATGTACCTTCTTATTGAAAGCAATGCATGCTTCTTCCATTGGAACATTTAAACTTTTTGCATGAATAAATTGAATTTATTCAACAGATTTAGGTTGAAACTGTTGAAATGTTGTGAAAATATACTTTCTTATTGAAGCCCATGCATGCTTTTTGCATTGAAACACAAAGATTTTTGCACTGAAACACAAAGCTTTTTGCATTGAAACATTAATTTGATAAAAGAGATTAAAGTTGAAAGTATTGAACTGTAGTGGAAATGTACCTTCTTATTGAAAGCGATGCATGCTTCTTGCATTGGAACATTTAATCTTTTTGCATGAATAAATCGAATTGATTCAACAGATTTAGGTTGAAACTGTTGAAATGTCGTGGAAATATACCTTCTTATTGAAGGCCATGCATGCTTTTTGCGCTGAAACAAAGCTGTTTGCATTGAAACATTGAACTGATAAAATATAAATTGAAACTGTTGAAATGTCGTGAAAATGTACCTTCTTATTGAAAGCAATGCAGGCTTTGCCCAGCAGTGAAGGGATGTTGTTGGGGGACTGGTTGAGGACGAAGTTGAACTGCTGGTCAGCTTGCTCGAGCTTGTCGCCCTCCAGCAGACACAAATATGCTCGCCCCAGCAGGTGGTTCTGTCATTAAAATGACATCTGAGGTTTAATAAATCAAATATAATAGTAATTGAAGTCAAAAGAATGCTCCTAATGAATTGAATACTCCAATACTACGTACTAAAAAAACCATTCTGATCCTTAATATTTATCTGTTACAATTTCACCTACAAAAATTGATACAGCAAAAATTTCGCCTATTTATGTCCAAAATTTCACATCAGTAAAAAGCCTTTGGCCCCATTTTCTTCTTTGGCCCTATTTTCTTAAACATGCCCATTAATGCATCGCAGTTGTTTTTGCAATTGCACATGCATTGTTTTCAATCAATTTTTGTGCTGGCGTGGCACACCCCCATGTGACTAAGGCACATAATTGTTACTTGGGACCCCAATGTGGCCCCACCTAACCCACTAAGATGTGAGGGTAAGGAGGGACCCACTAAGATGTGAGGGTAAGGAGGGACCCACTAAGATGTGAGGGTAAGGAGGGACCCACTAAGATGTGAGGGTAAGGAGGGACTCACTAAGATGTGAGGGTAAGGAGGGACCCACTAAATCAAAAATCAAAATTGTAATTAAATCCAAGAATGTAAAACCATTTTATAACAGACTAATTGATTGCTGGGTAATCTTAAAAAACATCGAAGTATAATTCTAAAAAATTACTCCCAGCCTATGACCCTATCGAAGTGGTATAGAAAGCCAAATTCAAGCACAGAAAAATATTTTTTTGACACACCCTACACAGCTCAGGAATCTATTCTAACAAACCTGGTCATACATGATGATCTTGTCAGCTGCTGTATATAAATGTGTGGCTTTTTGGAAGAGCTCCTTCTTGGCAGTTTTGTCCTTTTCTTTGTTGGCACATTGTACATAGTACGCAGCCAAGGAGTCAATGCAACGCATCTAAAATAAAAATTGAAGTTAATATGATGCATATTGATTCCTGTCTCCATATTATAATCATCATACATATAAACAAACAAATAATATCTTGGAATCCTCAACAATTATTGCCCAAGAAATAATCAACTTCAGCATAACTATTCATAAAAAAATTCAGAGTTCATAAACAGATCAGTAAGTAATTTCTCTAACACTAACTTAGTCATCTCAGAGCTCATACATGAACAAGCTTTCAACATAGGCTTGAAGCTGTGGTTGAATATGATATTATAGGAATTTTTTGTAAGAAATGAGAAGTTTGGGTTCTTATTCTCATGTTTTAATGTTTTAAAGTAGGAAAACAGTGATCTGATTTTTACCTATATTATAACTGTCTCAATTGGAATAGGATACATATTATGATGGAACATGAGTATGGCAATCCTCTTCTTGACAGTGCTAGGCAGAGCAGCATTTAGAAATCTATCATTATAGCAATTTTGAAAAAGTAATTTCAGATGCTTCACATGAAAGTTTAAATTTACTGTTTCTGCAGCAACTATTTCAATCTGTGAAAATTTAGCCATGGACTGCAATATGTTATTATTTGGCCCAATAATCCCAGTTTATGAATCTTGAATTTAATAAAATATATTAGAGGAGAATACCTATACCATAACTAAAATATTTACTTATTCATAACAAATTTATCACCTGGTCTCGTTCATAGTCAGGGTAAGAGATGCTGGCAGATGTACGACTGGCTTCCAAAATTTGAACAAACTCTTCAATTTTGCCCATTTTGTAGTACTCAATCTGAAAAAGAAAACTTCAGAATCTGGAATGCAACTTGACAGTTGTTCCTTACTTTTACCATGATTTGAAAAGCACAAAATCATACTTCTCTAAATTTAATGCAGAATACGTACATATATTTGAAAACAATAGAATATTACAGCCTTAAATTGATGTTGCATGAAAAAGTAAATTTACACAATTACAATCATAAAAGTAAATTTACACAATTAATCAGTGCAAAGATTTCTTGAAACAAAATAACAAACCATCATGCAAGATACAGCAAGATCCACCCAGTAGCTGAGAGGGATCTTCTCATTAGTAAGAACACGTACCTATCACAACTGATCATACAAGACCAGCATGAAATACTTACAGCAAGATCCACCCAGTAGCTGAGAGGGACCTTCTCATTAGTAAGAAAAGTATGTACCTATCACAACTGATCATACAAGACCAGCATTAAATACTTACGGCAAGATACACTCAGTAGCTGAGAGGGACCTTCTCATTAGTAAGAACACATAGGTACCTATCACAACTGATCATACAAGACTGGCATGAAAAACTTACAGCAAGATCCACCCAGTAGCTGAGAGGGACCTTCTCATTAGTAAGAATACTGAGCACTTCATCCCCATCCGGCAGTGCTGACAGGTCCAGCTCAATGACCTGCACAACATCACATGAATATCAGACACATTTTATGAAGAGCCCCTACAGATGATCTGAGCCACAAAAATTACAAATACTTCTATATTTGAGTTCAATAATGACCTTCTGCTACAACATAGTTATACCAATTCATTAAATTATTTTACCTATTATTAGTTATATAAATAATTTTAGCAGCATTTAATGAAGAAAAATTCTATGCAAGATTACTATACTCCAGGTGTAGAAGACACAGAAACAAACAGGTGTATAAAACATGTACATTCTAATCCACAAATGGATTTCTAAAGCAGCAGAACATCATCTTTTCAAATTAATTCTGTTAAGATTCAGTAAATGCCTGATAGGTAGTTGTTACTGAACCTTCAAGGACTCAAATTCTAAAACACATTATTAGGAATGTGCAAGATTCAAGTGAAAATTTCAAGTTCCATTTAATTGATACCGGTATGTTGCAGTTTCAAAATCATTGTTTAAATTTTACTCTTTTAGAGCTTAATTACTCTATTCAGTTTCAAATTACTACTCTATTTAGTTTTAATACAAAAATTTGCAGCTCTATATTACCAGTTTCTTTTTCTAATTTTGGAAAGTTGGTTATATTGAAGCTGTTCTAAAATTACTGATCCAGATCGGATGTTGACATTCAGAGCCCAATTTCACAGTCGCACAACACCAAATGCATTTAGCCAACAAAATACAATCAAACACCGGGAAAAACAATAATAATGTTAGAGCCCCAAAGTGCATCCAATCTCTGAAGTGTGACATTTAAGAGCAATTTTAACTCTCAAGCTTTTACTAAGCAGTCACTAGGTACCTTTAACTAAGGGGACCAGCTTGGTCACTTTCTAACTTCTTTGTTTGTCAACCAATCTATCAGTGATTTCACACACATATGCAATAGAAAAAAAAAACATTTTACTCCTATGGATTTTTCAAAAAAGGAAAGAAAATGCAAAATTTATAGAACATGGCAAAATAAGGGCATACTGTCAAACAGGGAATTAAGGGACGGGCAGGGTAAATTGGGACAGTAATCCCACATTTCAGAGAAATGTTGTAGCAGCTTAACTAATCAAAATGTTGCAAAACTAAAAATAATGGCATAAAGTTCAACATTTTTACTACCTACCTATGTAGCATAAAGCAAGTTGGGAAATCATACATTTACTACCTTTAAAAAATCCCTGAAGTTTTAAAGTGCGATTTTGGAAAAGTACGGTACCTACCTCTGCCAAGGTCTGTAGCAAAAAACATATTTGCCGTATTAAAAAAATTTACTTGCATAAAAGTTGCACACAGGTGTTTGCTTAAAAATGTGATTGACAGAATTTTCTATCTCATTCTAAAAAAATGGCAGCCACTTTTGCAAGAAGAGGTAATAAGGGTCAACCCCGGGGTACCGTAAAATGGGGTTACTTTGACCGGCAGGGTAACTTTGACCACTTTTTGTTTTCTTAACAAAAACCCCAAAAACTCAAAAACGATTTGACATAGAAAATTTTTGTACATGGCCATCAAAGGCCTAATGCTGAGGCTACGTAACACAATAGAAAGATTTTAAAAGTTTGCATATCTAATAGGTTAAAAAATTAATAATGTGACCCACGAAAAAGAGCTATTATTTAAAGCCTGTCGGACTATCCCCTCCAATTTTTTTATTTTTTGGTAAAATAACTCCAGGTTTTGATGCATTGTAGTAGAACTCTTCTAGCAAAACATAAGCAAAAGACAAATTTTAGGAAAGTGTCATAGTTTGCAAATGGGGAGCGCTGCCCCCCTAATGGGGAACTTTGACCACCCAATGGCAGCTGTGATGGGGTAACATTGACCGGCTTGGAAATTAAGTTACAATTACCGTACCATAGGTACCTATATAACATATTTTATGTTTGATACACCTATTAATGTTTTTTTTTTATGTTTCAGACTCTACAGAGTCTTATATGTGGTAATTTTAACTTAATTTCCAAACTGGTTAATGTTACCCCGTCACGGCTGCCATTAGGTGGTCACATTTCGCCCATTGAGGGGCGGCGCCCCCCATTTGCAAACTATGACACTCTCCAAAAATTTGTCTTTTGCATATGTAACTAGAAGAGTTCTACTACAATGCACCACAACCTGGAGTTATTTGGAGTTATTTTACCAAAAAATAAAATTGATTTTACCACCCGGTCAAAGAAACCCCAAGAGCTGGGGTAACAAAGACCATCACTTGTTTTGAAATTACCGTCAACCGGGGCTACTCGGGACAAGCGGGGCTACTCGGGACAGGCCTCCAACAGGTTGTAAAACTGTTGTAGTAGCAAAACTAATTGGAATATTGCAAAACTAAAAATAGTGGCGTAAACGTCAACATTTTTCCTATCAATGTGGTATAAAGGAAATTGAAAAATACGTACTACATTTACTTGCTTTGAAAAATTCCTGAAAAAATGGTGAAAAACTTTATTTTGTAAAGTTACAACTGCTAAGGTATGTAGCAAAAGAAAATATTCGCCGTATTAAAAAATTTTACTTACATAAAAGTTGCACCCAGGTGTTGGCTTGAAAATGTAATCGACAGAATTTGCCTATCTCATTCCAAAAAGAAATGGCAGCCATTTCCGCACGGCGGGGCTACTCGGGACACCCCCCCAGGGCTATTCGGGACACCCCCAAAAACGCATTTACAGTAGAACCTCAGTTAGCAAAGGTTCCAGTTAAGAACAAATTGATTAAAAACAAAGAATATTGATTACATTTACCTTGCTGAGTGAAAAAAAGTTCACTTATCGTCACACAAATTACAAGCTGTCCTGTATGCTTACAGATACAGAAAAAAATGCTATAAGGCTGCTGATATGAAGCTTGCAGTGAACAAGGTTGTTGTAAATGCTCAATGGCATGTTCATGGATATGGTAATATGGCATCAATAATACAGTAATATCCCATCAATAATAGGGTACCATCACCTGGGGGATTGGGCCAAGTTCATAATGATGGCCAAAGCCTGGTCATAAATGGTCATAAACAATGGCCAAAGTCACTCAGGCGTTTATGACCTGGTTTACAACCCTGGCATTTATGACCCTGGCGTTTATGACCCTGCATTTAGGACCCCAGCATGAATCAAAAAGGAGGCCAAAGTCACCCCAGTTGATGGTAATTAATGTTTATGGTAATATCATATCAATAAAGGAAAAACAAGTAAAAATCACAGAAAATGTCATTTATTCTACCTCTACATCATCTACAATGAAAGAAGAGGACTTCAGAGTACTGTTAGTAATGGACGAGTATGCTCTGCATGCTTCAAATGTTTTGAAATGAAGTTTTATTCCCATTGTCCTGAGTAGCCCTGACCCACAGGGCTACTAGGGACAATCTTTATTTTGCGTCTGGCACCTTAGGAATAGCATATGGAATTTTTTTGACAATGCCATTCGATAGCCCTGGCAAAGAGCTATAAAATGAGCTTAAATTTGTTTATGAAATGTTATATTAAATACGATCATAGCTACCGCAACCAAAGCCGATTTCTGACGGCCTGCAAACCTGTTTCTAGTTGCCTAGAACGTTTTTTTTTAAGGCGGAACACTTTTTTTAGGTGAACCACGAATTATAGAATTCCAGCTTGTCTACGTACATCACACCGCGCATTTCAGTTATGTTGGAATTAGTCTCACAATATGCCCAATTTAGTCACACTTACTCACACACAGCGTTAGAATTCAGCAACTTTGTAGATTTTCAATTCTTCTAAAGGCTTTTAAATAAATATGGCAGCAGTTTGTGACGTTTCATCATTGCTGGCGCGTAGCGTTGAAGAGGGCCGCAGAACATTAGCTATAATATCCAGTAGAATCATTCATTTAATATTGTACCTTAATTTATTTCATGTTTTATTTCATTACCTTTCAAGTGTCATGTGCATCTTATTAATCTCGTTTCTTGTTCCCCTTGGTGTAATATTTAAGCAGAGTAAAAGTTACTGAGACAAAATTCTTGCAAGTCCATATGATATGCACTTTTGATTAAGGGGAGCGTCTACCCCAAAAATTATCTCGGCTATTTACAGACGGATCACTTTGAAACTTGGTACACATATGTCAAATCAAAAAATAGACAGCTTTTATTCGTGTCAATTTTTC